ACCGATCTGCATCAGTTGTGGTTAGGTTCATTTTTAGTCTGAAATTAAAAAAACATAAGTAAAAATTAATATTACCCAATTATTATTTAATGAGAAACATATTAATTATTATTATTACATTTTGGTAGATATATTTGTTAGAAAACAAAAATTATGATTTTATTAAAATTAACTTTATATATTTCTGGAATAAAATTGATATATTATAAAAATACTGGTTGTTAAGGAAACATTTTTTTTATTTTACAATATACTGAAGTCTTAAAAATTAGGGTTGTTTTTGGTGGCTAGGGGGCTGGTCACGTGCAAAAAATGAAATGGGCGTATTTTTTCCATATTATTATTATTATTATTACTATTATTTTACTGTCATTTAATCTTATTTAGACATAATTAAAATTGAAAATGAATACTAATACGTGTCGTTATTTTAATATAAACCAAAACTAACCTTTTGATAATATTTTTTAGGTTTTATAAAAGTATATAATGTATAATGCAAATTGAGTAGAATGTAATTTAAGATTGAGTTTGTACAGTTTGCAGATCAATAAATTAACGTACATTATATTTTAATAATATTTTCCCAACTCAACAAATGTTCAGAAATTCAATTATTAAAAACACTGAAATATTTTATACTGCAATATTAGTATAGAGTTCAACTACAATATAGGTATTAATAAAATATATATTATGATTTAATCAACTATTTCTTTAAAATCGGCTATAAAAAGGTTATTTACATATTTGTATACAGTAACACGTTTCGAGGATCCAAGAGGATAAATTAAAGACTACGTTGTTTTAAATAACCACATGTCTGATTTTTTTTATTGTTTTCGAAATAATCATTATTAATTTCAAACACACTTCTTATTTTTCTAGGAATTTGGTGGCATTTTTGAGAATATTGAATGCAATTGGATTTTATAAATGTAGGTAAATGTTTATATGGTGATTTTGATAAATAGAAAATTTGTTATGTATTGCTTGGATCGTTCAACACGTCAACATACCTACTGCAAAAATGTCAAAATTTGTAAGTTAAAATTAATAATAATTGGTTGTAGTCTGTAGTAATATTCAATTTTCTTTGAAAACTATTTTAAAAGCATGACTTTCAACCGTATATAATTGGACGGATGTCGACTTGTACCCTCATAACACAATATCTATATTTATTTCGAAAAACGAGCAAAGAATTAAAAAAAAAAACCTAATAAATATAACTGTGTGGATAACTTGGTTAACCGCCTGTACCGAAGCTACGCCACAATTGAATTAATAATAAATATTATAACAAATTATTAAAATTCACAAATACACGACATTGCGGCATTTAAAACAAGTGGCGATAATAATTATTAATATGGGATAAGAAAATATAACTTACCTTGTGTATTATGAACACAAATATCGTAACCGGAACGGTATTATAATAATATAATATTGAAATATAAATGATAATTTACTATAACAAGTAAATGATATGTGCAGCAAACGCGTTCGTTTATCACGATATAAAATAAATAAATACTGGAAAAACTGGCACCTTTGAAAAAGACGCAAAGGTGCCTATAGCCTTATATTATACACTGCTGGAGTAGCGTGCGGGTCGTGCGGTAGACAAGTAGGTATATACTATGCATGAAATCGAAAATCACAGGTCTGGAAAAACTGGAAAAACCGGCGCGGGACACGAAGACGCGGAGACACGAAGTGGTAAAACAATGAAAACGCGAAAAACGGAAAAAATATCTCGAGCGGCGCCCGCGTAAAAGTAATCGAATTGTTGCGTGTATTATGTACGAGTGACGTATCCGGTTCGCGTTTGGCTTATGCCCCGGGACTCGGAGCTTAACTCGTCGGGCCGGTAAAAGTCGCGGCGGCGTAACAGAGGGCGGCGGCGGTGTATATAGGGCGGTGGCGGCGCGGGTGGTGGCGCGGCGGTGGCGCCGGCCGATGGTGCTTGGCTCGGGGGTTGAGGTTCGACCCGGAGAGGCTTAATCTTGGTCGGCCGACTGTCACAACCCCCGGGTTGGCGGCCGGGTGTCCGGGGCGGCGTGCGGCCGGGACCAACCGGAAAGAGTTAGAAATGAAATAGTGCGCCGGGCGCGTGCGCACCGGTCCGCAGCCGCCCGCCCGGCTACGGCGCGCCACGGTCGCCATGTTTATTGTTTAGCGGCCCGACGCCGCGCGGGTTAATAGTTAAGCTCTCCGACACGGCGCCCCCGTGCACGACAATTTGATTACCGAGTATTGAACCGGCGCCGCTGCCACTGCCTCGACCCACACCTAACCCACTCCACTTTTTCCCTTCGTCGCGTCTTCATCCTTTACCGTTTTACTCTCTCGTGCTCCGTCCCTCGCATACTCCATCTGCAACAGTGCTAAAGCCTACAGGGCCCTATTCGCGGCCGAGGAAACCTCTATACGGTTGATATTATTATGCACTGCACTGATACGTATTTAAGAGGGGTGGGGAGGAGAAATCGCCCGGGTAGGCACTTTTGTATATTATATTGGGTTGGTACCTACTTAAGTTATGTTTATACTATTATATTGATTGCCTCTATTGATTATTCAAAATGTATACTAAATAATTTTAAATTGTAAGTAGGTATCAGCAAGTTATCTAACTTGTGATATAATCTAATATCTATAATAAGTAGGTATAGAGTATAGACTATAGAGTTATACATGATTTGGTATTTTTTTAAGCAAGATCCTGCTAGAGCCGTGCTCTGTGCTACTATTCTACAGCACGTTTGGCAACGAACTACTACTAATGCCGAAAAAAAACACATTTATTATAATACGCAATTACAGACTATAGTAAATAATTGTAAGTAACGTTCGCTTAGGATGTGGTGACTTAAGTGCGTCTTACTCGTGTAATCGTGAGAAACGATTGTCAACGCACATCATAACTTTTAGTGATGATATATTTTCGTGCACGGGAATTCACAGGGATCATATAGAACTTGCGTAAACTAATCATAATTTGCTCGCATATAAGGCCCTATTCAAGTTTTTTTGTTAAATTTACATCTAAAAAAGCATTTATGCTGCTTAGAAACATTAAAAACAAAAAATTATGGTTCAATTGGGATATGTTTATTATGTGCCTGTACTGGTGAAATCGATGCTATATTGGTGGTACACCGGAATCAATGGGTCGGGTCCCATTACAATTCTCTGATATTTTTATTACATCAATAAGAACAAATAACTCAAATAAGTAAACAAATAAATATAATTTATATTGTAGGTGCCTACTAAATAAAAATTTAATTAAATACATTTAACAAATATATTACAATATTACAATATTTTACAACTGTTAATTAAAATTAAATTTAAGTTTAATACAATTTATAAAATAAATTAGCCTTTTTAGTTCTTTAATAAATTCAAACACTCAATATTTCACTATTAAATAAATAGGTACGAACGGGATATAAACGGAGTATACAGCAAAAGGGAAATATAAACTATCAAACTATACGAATTTATAATAACGAATTATACTTCTTATTAGATATGTATAGAAATCCTGATAAAGGTTTTCGGGAGATGTTTCGGTCTGGACACCCTAGGCCCTAGGGCCTAGACCTTTGTCCATATTATAGCTTTGACTAAAGCGAATAAAGAAAATAAATGGGAAGCTATATACTAAGAAACTATGCCATATGAATATTTTCTTGGTATTCCTAATGTTACTAGAACAATGAATAATCAACAAAACATTCATAACACTTTCTATCGATTATTTAAAAAAAAACATTTCCTTCATTCCTCACAGAAACTCTCAAAATTACTTAAATAGGTTTCATCAGTACCTACTCGTATATATAGTTGAATGGTAAATATAAAATATTAAAGCCACATATATATACTGTCTCTGAACAAAATTAGGTAGATACTATAGGTATTGGGTAGTTAATCTTTTATCCTGATAAACATATTATAGTGGCACTGACAATTAATAAAAATATAAAGAATATCTCACACAAAATTATTATAGCTATCTACTATAGTACATGTACTTATATGTGTGATTGCAGCAGTAGACGTATACAGTGGGGTTATAAATCTGTAAATATAATATTTTATACATTATCTATTATTATGATGACTTTTAATTATTAACTATATTATTAAGTTATACAAATAGAATATAGGGAGACGAAGTGACCATCGGTTGCGACGCATACCGGCGCCGGTTCGAATCCGGCTGCGGGTGGCATTTTCTTCGGGCAAGTCACGGTGTCCGGAGAGAAGTGCCGCCATCCCCCACCCGCTGGGTGGCATGGCAAATACTTACGGTTTGCCACTAAAAAATCTACCAAACCAAAAGTGTTTACTAACCTACAATTTTTTTCCTCCCCTACAAACAAAAACAAACAGCTAATGGCCATAGTTGCCTGGCTTACTGATAAAAAAAAAAAAAATAAATAAGTAAAATAAGATGGTTTTTTAATATAGGTACCTATTATTTGTATAAATATTGTATAAATACTATATTATTAGTACAAATGTATTGGATTTTACAATGACCTCTTCAATTTGTTCGCCCCGGAAATCATCACATCCAAACAAACTGTTCTGAAGTAGGTATGATAAATTATTTTTATAGTATACCAACTTTGTATACTTAAATTTTTTTTAGCATTGTTAGGGTATCAAAAATAAAATATTTCGATCACTCAATCTAAACACGATGTACAAAGTATGTCATTTTTACTATATAAATCGTAATCGTAAAGCTTATATATTCTACTGGTTTTATAAACCAGTTTGATGGCACGTTTTCATTCTCCATATTTATAAACAAATGCGAAAGTAAATATTATTCTAACTTCTAGACTCTAGTCATTCACCTAAGTGACTACACTGTACGAGGTACTATTACATTTTATGATATCTGAAATCGGTATTATCGTGTCTATTCTTCCGTTTTATTAGTTATAAATGTGATATTAAATATTTTGAAAATGCGTAGTTGGACAACAATTATTGCCTTGGCTGTAATATTCGCATTTGCCATAGAATTTCGACCCTTGGATCATTTTATGACTAGCTATCTCACCAGTCGAGGAGTAAACACTACAGATACTCAGGTACATAAATAAACAAATATTGTATAATAATCATCATAACCAATTAACCTAACAATGTGTATTTTTAAGAAAAAATGAATGATAGCAAAAAAATCAAATGAATATAAAACTTATAAGGTTTCTCAATTCGAATATCTTCAAGTCTAATATATTTGTATGAGTATAGGCTGTGGTTATTGGTTAGACTAACCTTACCTATCCCTATGAGTAAAGGAAAAGGATAGTTAAATACCTATACTATATTATAATGTGTAGCGTAATTTGCTTATTAATTCTACATATTTATTAGATATGCTATTTTTATACTTATGCGACAGCAGTCAGAAGACAGTTTCGTAGTTATAATACTAATGGAGGATGATGAGGATAGATCCTTCTCAGAGCTTTTATTATGGTATATCTAATATAATGTACCAACCGTAGCTATCCATAAAACATTACCTTTAGGCTTTAACGCAGAATAATAATTAGTGATTAAAAAGAACTTAAAAAATTATGTATTATTTTATAAGTACCTAAGTAGTGTTTATTAATTATTAATAATAATTGAATATGTACTAGCTGATCAGTGATCCTGCACATCATTTACCGTGACAAGTTACAGGTCCTTGAATCCACCTCTTCTTAAACTCTGATAAATTTAAGCTGCACAGATTGTGCACACAATTATATGGGTAGTTTTGATTAAATATAAAATACAAATCATCTTGAAATATTAAAAAAATCACATTGTGATTATTTTTTTTAAAACTCGTTTTAACCATCACAAGCATATGCTTAAGGGAGGTAGATAATTTATTGTAAAATTTAATCTTAATGTTATTATTTACTTGTATTATAAATGTTTTCTTTACAAAAAAAAAAAAAAAATGTCATATTATGACGTATTATCCATGCTTATTATTTATGTTATGAAAATATTAAATTATAGTTTCTTCAGTCTAAAAGTATAATAAGGAGATAATAATGAGATAATGTATACTATTGAAAACCTTGTAAAACATTAACGGTTTTAAAAAAAAAATTTTAAATTAATGTGTTTACCATCTATTTATTTACATGTGAATACTAAATACATGTTACACGATATTATTGTATGCATAAAAATTAAAATGTAATTATTTCAGTAAGTAACTAGTAATTTGATTTTCTCTTGAGTAAACTGTAGCCCTAAAAGAAACATATACATTTACAATTAATATAGTAATAGGTATCAACATTATAAAGTGTAATTAGTCGGGAACTACCTAAGTACTCATTTGAATTTTGATTTGCATAAATCAAAATATTAAAAAAAATAATCTGCTGAATAATTTTATGTAAGAATAGGTGATTCTTGTTTAAAAAAAAAAGATTTTTTTATTACCATAGTGTTGCCGCCGCAAAGCAACAATAGTATATTATATTAAGTATCAATGGTCACGGAGGAACAGCTGGTCACACACCCACATGTCATTATCACCATTTCTGTATTGTTTTATTTTCGTTATAATTATTATGAATGTGTATTGTGTATTGTGAGTTATATAACATGAAGATAAAAACTATGTAGCACGCCGCCGCATCGGCTGCAAAATATTATTTAACACGGCCGCCGTGGTTTTGTCTGTCTCGTGCCGTACGTTGTCGCAACAGTATCGACGAGTAAAAAAACAACAATGTTTTCTATCATAAAGTTTTTTATTCATGACTTCATGAGTAAGATTTATCATTGCCTTTTGTACACACGTGAGCGCCAAAAGGGCCTATTAATATTATATCAAGTGTTCAACAAAATTGTGAGCGCGAATCGCAACTATTAATAATATTTGTAATTTTACTGCGTTTCTCAGCATTGTGTTTATATTATTGTTTCTTTCGGTGCTGATCGCCGAAGACATTTTATCATTTTATTATTGTGAGCCTTAAGGGCAATACTATATCTTTATTTATTATTCATATACGTTTGTCATTTTGTACAATTTTCATATTATAGCACAGGACCAGCTGACCAGTCTGTGCTCCGCAAATTGTGAGTTTTTATTATTACTTATCTATTATATATTAATATCTGTTGAGCCAAAAGGGCCGCAGAATATTTATAATTATTATACTATCTATCTTGCCAAAAGAGCCTCATATTATTTTTATATTTTATATTATATTAGTTTTATACGAACACAGATTAAATATCATTTTATTGTATTCTGTTCGGCCACAAGGGCATTATCATATACATATTATTATATTTTATCATTGTATTTTATTTTAAGTCGTGTACCTATTATATAAATAGAAACTGTGTTACCGTATTTTTTATTAATTGTTTAATTGTATACCTACACACCTACATACATACACACATTCATACACAAATGTCAAGTACCTACACATAATCCACAACATACACTAAGTAGCCGACAGTAATTGCCTGGCGATGCCGACCACTACTGTTCGAGCTATTACACCACTACACACCCAGCTAGTCCTCTATATTTTAAGACTTAGGTGTCAGTGGCGTAAAACAAAGAATTGGTGTCTGGGCGCGCGTATTATTATTTTACGCTCCCGTCCCGCGCACATAGGACACTCTTTAAATGATACAAAAAATCTCAAGGTAGATATTCAAAAATATCTTTGAATTTATATAAAATTTAAAAATTAGATTTTGAATACAGTAAAGTCTTCATAATCTAACTGACCTTCTATAAGGCGGAAATCTCCACGCAACGGAAAATAGTCCTGTATAGAGTGCCTTCATAGAGTGCCTTGATAGAGGCATCTCTATCAAGGCACTCTAGTCCTGTATAACTTATACCACGACACCAGACACCAAGTATATTTTAGTCTCCTTATATTCGTGGGTACTTGAAACTTCTAAAGTGTACTAGTACTATATATATCTATGATAGTATCACGGTTTGTTGATGATGTATAACGTATTATAAGTACCTAATGGATATTGTGATATGATTAATTTGGAATTTATTATAGGTCATTTTTTTAATACCATAGATATGTATATAATATGTCTTATATCTAGACTGACATACCGTCTCCACTCAGAATCGTTTTTCTTATACAATTATATTATATCATTGAATTCAAATTTAATACCATCCATTATACAGTGACCCACTTGCCACCTATTGTACAGCAGAGCACCTTTTTTTTATGTTTTATCCTTTTTTCAGTTTTTTTTTTTAGAAATATATTTTTTATAGAATATACATATTTTTGATATAATTAAATAAATTAAAAATATATCTTATGTATAGGAAAAATATTTTATTTTATCATTTCTTACGCACCTGTTTGGAAATATCCATCTTAAATAAATTGCTACGGGTAAAGATTTCTTTATAACACAGCAGCAATATCAGTGAGATGAATTCATTGAAACCCAATACAAGTGCATAACAATTATTTTTCAGCTGTTTTGCTACTTCAGACCTGTTAAAATAAACATTGGAGTAACAGCCATGATAATTATTTTTTACTGGTGGACCCACTTGTAACCTACTGTACAGCAGAGCAAATTTTTATATTGAATAATGGTTTATCCAATGCTCTAGATGTGCAATGAATAGGGTTTTTAATAAACTCGGATTTTAAAGATGGTCTGGCACAAGAATTTTGTTTCAGCAAATATAATTCTAATTTGTTTGTATATAATATATATATATATATATATATATATATATATACTAGCTGATCCCGTGCACTTCGTTTCCCGTTAAATGTACCAACTCTATATGACTCAAACATTGTTCAATGCATTATTTAATATTCGGTGTATGATGTTCTAGATTTATCTTAACTTTTCTGTTGCCCGGAATAAAAATTCTGAATTGCAGCAATACATTATCAGATAGGTAATTTACCTGCGGTAGATCACGGACCCCGTGCTGTTTGTACGTAAGTGTATGATTTAACTCAAAAAATACCAAAGTTATACCAAGTTTGACGTTTTTACTTAATTCCACCTACCTATAAATCCTAACCTAACCTAACCGTACTAAAATCCGACGAATAAGAAAAACCAAATTTAACCCTTTTTAAATTAGCGTATCTTCTTCCCATAGGTCTAATCTACACACCGTCATTCATTTATATATAAGATATATTTACAAAAAATAATAATACAAATCAACAAACATGCCCGATTAACCAATAGCAACCAATATAATATAATACACAAGAGAGTAAATAAAGACAACGGTATCGAGTTCAAATCCCAGACATCAATAAATAGTTTTTGCAGTTTTTCTAATTATTCGGTTGACTTTTTAAAAATGTTCTTTCATAAAAACCTTCACCTGGCAATTACGAACATCTTAAAAAAAATTTGAGCAAAATCGGCCCACCCGTTCTCAACTGATGCAATTTCGAATTTTTTGTCTCCATTTTTATATATATAGATATGGTTTCCATTGGTTACAGAAAATAAAATACCTAGTTGTTATGATTGGATATAATTTTCAAAATTTTACTAATATATATTTTATAACTGTCATGGAAATTTGATTTAAATATAGTTGGTGGGTATTTATTTGAGAAAAATCTTAATTGTCCAACTGTATAGGTAATAATTATAAGTCACCAGGTCACCTGTTCTATAGAGTTACAGTTGCCACATAGATTTGGAAATTTTATTCTTTTGTAATTAAATAACAATGAAATGTAATATAATTTTACACTTATTATAATAAAATGCTATATCGACAAGCAAATTACCAACATCTTCATTAATCTAATGATTATAAGCTATAGTAATATACAGTCCCTAAAATTGTGTGTAGTACGAAAAGTGCAGTGTGTAGTACGAAATTTGAAAGTGTGTTATTCTAATTAAACCTTTATAATAATATTATGTATAATTTTATATCTTCACATTTTTTTTATATTTTAATGGTTGCCAAACCACATTTTAATTATAAACGCAGATACACAGTTAACAAATTGTTGTGTTATTAAGTCTTAAACTCTTATTATAATTATTATTATTCATTGTTATTGAGAGTAGCTATTTTTATTATTATCAGCTTAGTAGTGAACAGTGGTATATAGTACCTATACTATTGTTTATCTAGAAATAATTTAGATTTGACCGATTTGGGACCATGTGTGTAGTACGAAAATTTGGATATTTTAGGGACTGGTAATATAGTAGGTTTATACTAGACAGGGTGTAACCGGAAGACCTGACAAATAAAATAACTTTTGTTCTAATCAATATTTTAAAACTTTTTTTATTAATAATATAATTTATTGACTCTTGCGTTACACATATACGTAACTTATAAATTTTTTATTTTGAATAATGAAAATAACAAATATTAAATCGGAATTTAATCTTTTTTTGAAAAATTCAAAATGGCTAGTTTGTAAATCTGGGTTTTAGAAAAATTTTGTTTGTAAAAGCATTTATTTAATTCATGTAGATTATTTTATTCATATTTATATTTTATTCTATTATATTATTCTTTACTTTAGGCAAAAGATGAGTTGGTGCGTTTTGAAGACTATTTCAGCATATTGACTGTTACGGTGATAATGATGATCACAGATAATTTACTTTACAAACCAGTTATCTTTTTCAATGTCTTCTGTGGAATTATCGTTTATTCTAATCTTGTTATGTTAAATAATTTTATCCAGTTAAAAGTAAGTACCACGATCTAGTATTACGAAATATTTAAGATTACCTACTGGTTATGAATGCACCTGTTATACACACTTATGTACTCGTACTCGTATTTTATAAATACGTCCGGAATCTAATAACTAATAAGTGGCCGATTTTTGATGGACGAGAAAAATAATATTATTACGAACGGTATTACTTTTTTCTCGGACACTTTAAGTTTTCGGTTTTAATTGTTTACAGGTAGCCGAACTATGTGTGGCGTTCTTCAAATCGTACGAAGTAGTCTACTTCAGTTATTTATTCGCTAGGGTTCAGGACAAGAGGTATTATCAGGCAACATCGGGATTAGCTAGAACCGCACTGTTGATGGGCAAATGTTGTTCGTTGGTATTCGCCCAGACGTTAGTGGTTATATACGGAAAGGATTACGTAAAACAATTTCCGTGTTACACATTGGGCAGTGAGTATAATAATAATATTTTGTGTTCCACTGAAAAATTATTATTTTAGTCTGTAGTTACTCCTAAACGGTCGTATATATTATGTATAACTTTATGTAAGTACTTCATAACATATTTTTATACAATAATTATTATAATTATAATGCCTGCAATATATTATAAAGGATTGGGTATTTAAGTTGATTTAATTTAGGTAGGACAGGTAGATACTACTGTAAAAATAGTTTAATCACACAAACAACAACAATTTTTATAGTCCAGTCATTCGAGGAATTAAATCGGAAAGTTTTGAAACTTTGCAAAAAGTTTGGTTATAGGCTCCTGATTAACCAAAAAAAAGTCGCCATTCCTCCGAGGTCCGGAAGTGTCCACCATCTTGGATTTTAAGTGCGACTTTTCAGTTTTTTTAAATTATCTTTGAAAATACTAATTTTATATCAAAAATACCTCTATACAAAAATGTAGCTGATAAAATTTTAAACAAATATGGTTTTTTTTTTTTTTTGTAGCTTGAATAGGTTAAGAGCAAAATTTAACCATGTCTTATGATATTAAACGCGGTGCGCAATATAATACTATATATAGGCTGCACGTAGACGGCGCGCCGCACTTGGGTCCACTAGAAAACGCAATATTTACGTTTTTTATGTATATTTACATATTACAAATAAACGTTATTATTGATATACGCTATATTAAATATTATATAATCATATAGTATATACACCGCGTATTATATTTTACTAAAATATAAATATTTTTTTATAGCTTGTTGGTACCTACATTGAATTTTATTTTATGTAATTATATATTGTGAAAGTTGTGTATGTGGCTGTTCGGTTGACCCAACCGTTTCGTCCTTTCCCGATAACACTGCTAATTGTTATTACTTATTAGTTATTAGTTATTAATATGGGACAGTTAAACTTAAGAGAAGCAACAGAGTGTTACCTATAGCTATTGTAAATTCTTCAATTAGGATAAGAGAAGAAATAATATCTATAGACCCACTATTAATTTTTTAAAGACTATAATGAAAACATCCAATGAAGAACTCAAAAGTTATTTTGAGTATGAGTTGTCTCCATGTCCACTTTCATTATTTAACGAAATGGGCACGAGAAAAACAAAAATCGATATTGTATGATTTTATACAGTCTTCGAATCTTGAAAGTTTTACACTCGGTAATGCGTTATATGTAATAGATGGCGGTTTTCTTTTACATAGAGTTATGTGGCAATTAAATTTAACTTTCAATCAAATTTTTCAACTGTACTTATCTTATATAACAAAATATTTTGGGACCAATGCAGTCATAGTTTTTGATGGCTACAATGAAAGCTCGACAAATACAAAAAATATGGTACGTAATCGGCGTATAAAAAATACTTCGGCGGACATTTTATTTGGTGAAAATATGGTTCTAATTGTTACACAAACATCATTATTATCAAATATAAGAAACAAAAGTAGATTGATACAAATGTTGTCTTCATATTTGATAGGTAGATAAAGGTTACATTATTAAACAAGCCAATGACGATGCCGACACTGTAATTGTAAATGAAGCTATAAAGAGGGCACAAAGTCAATCTGTTGTTGTAGTTGGTCAAGATATCGATTTACTGATTTTATTAATAGCTCTTACACCGGTAGAAAATCAGATCGTATTTTTAAAACCAGGAAATGGAGGAAATTAAAAAAATATATTCAATTAAAGATATCCAAAAGGTTAATGGCATAAAAATATAATTTTATTTTTACATGCTATATCTAAGTGGATGCGATACTGTTTCATGCTTCTATAATATTGGAAAATTAAAACATTTCAAACTTCTCAATCAATATCCAGAACTTCAAGAAATAGTAAATGTATTTAACTGCCCATTTTAACATTAAAATTATATGGTGCACCACAAAGTCAAACAAATATAGACGAATATCGATATTTATTATTCACCCGAAAAACGGCTGGAAATAAATTAAAATTGGCAAGCTTACCCCCATCAAAAGAGGCTTTAAAACAGCATATATATCGAACATATCACCAAGTTCAAATGTGGCATGGAGAAGAAAAAAAATGCAAAAGATTGGGGATGGCAAACAACCAGGAATGGACTGCAACCAATATTTTCATGGAATGAACCAGCGGCAAAATTTATTTTAGAAAAAATTATATGTGAGTGTACAAAAATTGTGGAGCAGCATGCGGCTGCAGAAAACAAGGATTAAAGTGTTCTACTGCGTGCAAAACATGTTCTGACCTTACATGCTTAAATTGTGAACAGCAAATTATTGAAGACTAGTCCGACGATAATTCTAATGAGGACGAGGATGAAATAGTATATGGTCCATCATCCAAACGCAAAAAATGAATTTTGTATAATGTGTAAAATGAATTATAATAATAATATTAATTGTAAAAAAAAAATCTAAATTAAGCAACTTAAATTAAAATGTTGTATTAGTTCTGTAAATTATTCAATGTACCTTCCTATATAATACTGTTATAAAATACCCAATATTTATATTTTACTAAAATATAATACGTGCGGTGTATATATTATATAATTATATAATATTTAAATTATTTATAATATAGCGTATATCAATAATAATGTTTATTTGTAATATGTTAATATATATAAAAAAACGTAAATACTGCGTTTTCTAGTGGACACAAGTGCGGCGCGCCGTCCACGTGCATCCTATAAATAGTATTATAGCGGGTCGCGTTTAATATTATAAGACATGGTTAAATTTTGCTCTTAACCTATTCAAGCTACAAAAAAAAAATAATAAAACCATATTTGTTTAAAATTTTATCAGCTACATTTTTGTATCGAAGTATTTTTGATATAAAATTAGTATTTTCAAAGATAATTTAAAAAAACTGAAAAATCGCACTTAAAATCCAAGATGGCGGACACTTCCAGACCTTGGAGGAATGGCGACTTTTATTTGGTTAATCAGGTGAATATAACCAAACTTTTTGCAAAGTTTCAAAACTCTCCGATTTAATTCCTCAACAAATCGTCAAATGACTGGAATATTAATTTTCAAATTAATTCTAATATCACTATTACCATTACCGGTTTATCCAAAATTGTTTTTTTATTCCCGAAAATTAAATTCAGCGTAGGTAGAATATTTAACTTTCGATAACTATATGATGTTGATAAGAAATATTTATATTTATATTATTTATAAATATTTATATGGATTGTATGGATTACACTCTCCGTCCACAATCATCTTCACAGGAAATGATTTTGAATCTTTTTTTTACTATACCTACCTACCAACATGGACACACCACACTATATATATCATCAAATAATATTTTCAAATATATTTTATTGAAATCCAACTTTTTGTCTCAAATATGAGTGGCCTAAAAGGCCTCAGTAGAAATAACAAAATAAACCTAGTGGACAAAAACACAAATGAGCTTGTTAGTAATCCCGATTTAATTTCAAACAAACTCGGTGAATATTTTTATAAGAACAGCAGCAACAGCAATTTCAACTCGCAATTCAAATTATTCAAGCAAAAAAGTGAAAAGGCAATCATTGTTAACACCGTCAACGAGAATCTAAACGATCAAATTCTTTTAAACACCCCAATAACCTCACAAGAAATCATGTACTTCATAAAAAAATGCAAAAGTAATAGTCCTGGACCTGATCAAATTCCTTACGCATTTATTCACAATTTTGGAAGAAAATCTTTTGATCTACTGGCAATTCTTTACAACGAAATTCTATCAGAAGGAAGCTGGCCTTCAACCTGGAAGAGTGGAATAGTAATCCCTATTCCTAAACCAGACAAAGATAAATTTAGCATTGAGGGATACAGACCCATCACGTTACTCAACACAATGTGCAAGCTGCTTGAAAAAATTATAAATCACAGACTTTGCTGGCTTTTAGAAAAACTCGCCTTCTTCTCCCCACACCAGAACGGATTTAGAAAAAATCGAAGCACCATAGACAATCTGATCGAAATCAAAGAAGACATCTCTCAAACATTCATCAATCAACAAATTATGGGCATGGTAAATCTAGATATCGCCAAAGCTTTTGACTCCACATGGAGACATAATATTCTAGTAAAACTCAATAAAATAGTTAGTAAAGGCAATTTTCTGAACTTAATCATCAATTTTCTAGAAAACCGTACATTCAGGGTAAGAGCAAATAATTGTCTATCCGATGAGTTTATCCAAGAAAACGGCGTTCCTCAAGGCTCTGCACTCTCAGTTTCTCTCTTCCTGATAGCTATCAATGACATTACCGATAACTGTCCACACCCCGTAAAATTCAACTTATACGCTGATGATTTCAACTTCTGGTGCAAAAGTAAATCCAAAAACACAGTTCAAAGTCTACTCCAAACTACCGCAAATTATCTAGAAAATTGGTCAAAACTAACTGGATTTCAATTCTCTCCAGAAAAATCTAATAGCATCATTTTCACAAAAAAAAAGAATGTTGAAGCTCTAAAAATCACAATTGACAAAGTTGAAGTTCCTCATCGAAACTCTGTAAAAATACTGGGTGTCATCTTTGACAGACGCTTATCGTGGACCCCATACATTAAACACTTAAAAGCCTCCACCGGTCATTCTGTTAAAATTTTAAAAATTCTCTCCCACACCTCTTGGGGCGGAGAAACAAACACTCTAATTAAAATTCATAAAGTTTTAATCCAATCAAAACTTAATTATGGTTCATCCCTTTACAGAACAGCATCCAAATCCCTCCTTAACTGGCTAGATAGTGTTAATAATGGCGGTTTGAGACTAGCCTTAGGAGTTTTTCGTAGCTGTCCTGTATACAGTATTTATAATCTCGCCGGTGAACCTATTCCCGATATAAAAAGGCTTGAACTACATCTCAAATATTTAGCAAGATCTTCAAAATCAAGTAACACCATTCATGAAAAAAACAACCCCCTTATCATAAAAGAGATGAATGACACAAACATCGATATATCGCAAATTATATCCAAAGAAAAAATTTCCCAACCCCCTTGGGCCAGCTCATATCTAATTAATACAGAACTCAGCTGTCTTCACAAACAACAAACCTCGCCAAATATCTTCAAAAGTTTCTTTAAAAGCATTATAAGTAACTACAAAGACTTCCAGGAAGTTTACACTGATGGCTCAAAAACTCATGATGGTGTAGGATTCTCGATTATATTCCCAAATAAAATAATTATACACAAACTACCTCCGGAGTGCTCCATATTCACAGCCGAAGCTTTAGCCATTCTTATGGCTATTGAGACTATATTACAAGAAGCTCACTCGAAATTCATCATTCTCAGCGATTCATTGAGCACTATAAGAAGTCTGCAGAACCATTTCAATCCCGGTGATATTGCATCCAAAATTCTGAACAACCTCAGCCTAGCTTCCTGTCTGGGTAAAAATATCGTCATCATGTGGATACCTGGACACTCGGGCATAATAGGCAATGAAATAGCCGATGAACACGCCTCAATCGCCATCAACAACAAAGAAACCGTCTTAATTAATAAAATGTCATACGACGACCCGAAAAAACTCATAAATGAACGTACAAAATATAAATGGCAAAAAATCTGGAACATACAAAACACAAAATTAAATGAAATAAAAAGAGACATATACCGTTGGTCTAATCCCAACCTCAACCGTAAAGAAGATACGGTACTCAATAGACTCCGTACGGGTCACGCCAGAATTACTCACGGCTTTCTGATGGCTAAAGAGGAACCCCCCTCCTGTCAAACCTACGGAACCTTGTTAACAGTCAAACACCTAATTGCCGACTGTCTAAAGTTCAACCAAGAACGGGCCGCGAACAACATATCTCACAACCTCGATTCTGCACTCGGACCCAACCAAGAAAACAACCTGGATATAATCAAATTTCTGAAACAAACAAAACTTTTCGGTCTTGTTTAAAAAATTATTAATCATTATTGTTACTTGTATTATTGTATAAAAACCTTGTTGGTAACTAATGGCCTTTGTCGTCGATGTTAACTATTAGATCAATAAAAAAAAAAAAAAATATTTATATGGATTGTATGGATTACACTCTCCGTCCACAATCATCTTCACAGGAAATGATTTTGAATCTTTTTTTTACTATACCTACCTACCAACATGGACACACCACACTATATATATCATCAAAAAATATTTTCAAATATATTTTATTGAAATCCAACTTTTTGTCTCAAATATGAGTGTACCTATTGCAAGACAGCCACATTGATATATCTTTTGTGTTAGACGTTATTTAAACATTTGAAAGTTGAAACATCCAATTTGCAAGCAATTAAAAAAATAATAATTATTAATTTCTATTTAGAAGTAAGTTTATTAATTATAAAGTGATGCATTTTTACATATTCTACCAATAAAGGTAGTCTAATTTCTTTGATACCATTTGAATATTACCATAACACTGAAGCTATAAACATAAAATAAAAACTAATAATTTTTAAAAGTTTTATAATAACTATAATGAATTGTCTTAAATATTTAAGAAACACAATATGAAAATTAATAATTAATTAATTTATGTGTGAAATATAGCTATTAAGTACCTGCATAAAATAAATGGTAAAATCAGATTTAAAAACAGGTAAAGGTGCCGATAATTGTTAATAAACACCTGCAACATCTTGATAAAGGTAGATAGATACTTATAAGTTATAATTGTATAGATACCTACAAATAAATACAATGATTTTTAAAGGTGAACCAATAAGTAGAATATAGTTTAATATCTTTCTAAAAATAATTTATTAATTTGTACTTACACATAATATCAATAATTTCATTATATTTGCACTCGTGATCGCTTACTAATGGATGTACATTTTTGGATAAACCAATAATCTCATATAACAATAACTATTTTAGGTTTTTTGGTTATGTTTTAGTACAAATATATTAATATTTATTTTTATTTGAATTTTAATTACCTAAACACATAATGTTTAGTAAGTTATAATATCCACAAATCGTTCAATTTCCTACGTATCTGCTGTAATATTTTAGGTATGGTTTTCGCATTTGTACGGGCGTCGTTTTTTCCATCGGTAAGACGGAAAAGTTACAATAACGATGATACTATAGCAGAATTTATGTTGAATAATAACAAGGAACCACTTAATTCAAAGGTAAATTATTAAAATGTATTTGTTATTATATAATATATTAGAATATAATATATAAATTGTTTTGGAAATATTCCATCTGACGCGGCCATTCGACAAACATATTTGTACGAATAATGTATTTCATATGAAAAATTCTAAATTATTTTACCTCCCTAAGCTGTTGGAATATTGAACATTTGAACGTGATTATTTTATCCAAATTACTTAGAAAAATTAAGTTTTAGGCAATTAGGCAAGAAATCAATTCGAGTGTTTGGTTATGAAAATGTGTGTCATCATTATGTCAATAAGATTAATGGTAAATTACTCCATTAAATATTTATAGAATATATTATACTGTACTGTTCTTTACTATACATATTTTTCAAAACTAAAATTGTTCTCATAACTCATAAGTATATGTGGTGAAACATTATACGAATAATTAATTTCTATCTTATCTTAACGATTACATTTACTTTTATAGTAAAAAATTAACATATTATTATTAATAATATTTGTACCAAATAAATTATAATTAAATAAAAACTTAATATTTTTTTAAAATATTAAATAAATTATTAGTGAGTAATTAACAACTAATTGCTCATTTTAATGTCATTCCATTAATGGTATATAATAAAAAAAATAAAAGTCCACGAAGGAGATTGAACGCTCCACTATCCCCTTCATATAAATTATAGGCGTATATAATACGCATATTATCAGGTGACAGACATCGTATATTCTTATCGATTGATTCAAATTTTAAATCTTTTTATAAATTTTATAATTTTAAAATTTCAAGCAAGGGACTGTAACTCATACTTAAACAAAATATGATATTTTAGAATAGACCCATTCAATCTCAGTCAACTGCAACCGAACCTATGTTAAAACGAATATGGAGAGACTTTAAAGAATCTTATAAAAACTTAATTGTTCTGAAGTGGTCCATTTGGTACTGTTTGTCTTTAGTCGGCTTTATGACGGTTAGTAAAATACCTACTCAAACATTATAAAACTATAAAAGTATATACCATAAAAATGAAATACCATGTGTAAGTAATCTATTTATGTTTATTTAATTATTTATATCCATAGGTATGTACTATCAATTATGTATAACAACTATTTGTAAAATTCCAGATAAAAGTGGCCTGTGTAACTCACAAATTAGGCGAAGATGAGCAAGCTGACGGTGTAGTTGAGTCCTTGACCGTATTAATAGGTTTGTAAATGTAATATGATTATTTTGATTAAAAATTAAATTAAGAAAATCTAACATTTAAAAAATGAAGGTCAGGTATTATTATATTATTATTGCTCCTTAGATTCATGTATATATAATTTATTTATGCATAAATTCCATAGTAATTTGGCAATGGCATAATGCGTAACTATATTATATATGAGTGTGTGCTATATAATGCGTATTAATGTGTTAATATAAATAAAAAAATATCATATTTTTATTCATGGTTATCCTTATCACAGCGGAAAAAAATAGATATTTAAAATCAATTCAATAGAAACCTATAGTAAACAAGGTAAACAATGAAAATCAGTTTTAAAAATTGATATTCATCAAACAAAATTCCTTCAGTTTTGTGTGGCGTTTTGGTATAAAAAATACTTTTTTTCATCTACTGCTGCCCCCTTAAGAATTATTTTATGATACGGAATTTAAATGTATTTAAAAATATTAAAATAAACGAAATTCATGTTTAGATTGGTAAAATCTACATTAGTTTTGACTTTTGACAAACTGGAGATCCCTTAAATATCAAAATTTAAACTTAAAAGCCGAAAAAAATATGTACTTTTTATATTTTTAAAATGCTGGAGGTTCCACCTTTTGAAACAAAGTGAAATCTTGAAGATAGATGCATTTTTTCTGTCTAAATTATGAAAAAAAAAAATGTTTAAAAGGATACAGCATTATAAATCCAATACGTGATATTTATCCGTTCAGAATCTAAAGCAGTATATTATGATTAATCATAATCATAAAAAAATAATTAACTGGTGTGTTGGAAATTACTGCACATTACACTCCCTTCTCTCACCAGGATAGGCCACTGGTCATAATTATAGATGTATGACATCAGTAAAAAGTTGATTTTCTTATAATTTTACAGATACCTAATATATGTTTTTGATTTACACATTTTTGAGCAGGGGCCATCAGCTCATACAAAATCGGCATGAAACGCGTGAATTGGGAATTAAATGGTAATGCGTTCATAGGATCTGGGTCTTTGATTCTTGGCGTATGCGTGATATCTTGTTACTTTCATCAAAATATGTTATCGATCCAACTGTCGTACATATTATTCGGAGTACTGATCCAAGCCATGTTTGTAACGGCGTTGTAAGTAAAAAGTTACCAAATATAATAAAGTGTTAAGTTCAAACACTTCAAACAGTTCAGACCACGGTCTTAGAAGATAAGGTCGGGACTGTTTGCTTATAATTGTGTCCGTGGTTCAGACTGTATCATTTTAATAATATATTAAGATTAAATATATTTAAATGTCAAACATTATTTTTAACCAGTAAAAAATAATTATTATGGCAGTTACTTCAATTTTTATTTTAACAGGTCTGAAGTAGCAAAACAGCTGAAAAATAATTGTTATGCACTTGTATTGGGTTTCAATTTGTTCATCTCACTGATATTGCTGCTGTGTTATAAAGAAATCTTTACCCGTGGCAATTTATTTAAGATGGATAATCCCAAACAGGTGCGTAAGAAATAATAAAATAAAATATTTTTCCTATACATAAGATATATTTTTACAACAATATTTTTAATTTATTTAATTATATCAAAAATATGTATATACTATAAAAAATATATTTCTAAAAAAAAAAACTAAAAAAAGGATAAAACATAAAAAAAAAGGTGCTCTACTGTACAATAGGTGGCAAGTGGGTCACTGTATAATGGATGGTATTAAATTTGAATTCAATGATATAATATCATTGTATAAGAAAAACGTTTCTGAGCGGAGACGGTATGTCAGTCTAGAGCCGTCTAGGTATAAGACATTTTATATACATATCGATTAGGGTGGTCCTTATTTTTGAACATTCTAATTGTTGATGTGGGACCCCCTAACTTTTTTTATTGTTATAAGATGATAATTTTGGTTAAATTTGGTCATGATTACTCACCCCCCTTCCCGTGACCCTGGGGGGTTGAAAAATAGCCAAAAACGTTGTTTTGTTTTTTTTTACTTAGCTAAAAAGTATGATACTTAGCGAAAAAATGTATAGAGCTTAAATTGTAGAACGATATAGTTTCAATAATAAGCTTAAGTATTAATTATTGAAAGTTTATTATGATTAAAGAAAAATTAGAACATTTTAATAAAATATGCACTCTTATTAATACTTCAATAAATATCAAACTAATTATTATTAACTATTTATGTAAATTTTAACAATCTTATTAATAAATTTAAAATTATTATTATCTATGGTATTAAAAAAAAATTGTACCTATAATAAATTCCAAATTAATCATATCACAATATTCATTAGGTACTTATAATGCGTTATACATCATCAACAAACCGTGATACTATCATAGATATATATAGTACACTTTAGAAGTTTCAAGTACCCACGAATAATATTATACAATCACAAAAAAATAACTAAAATAGTTATTCTAGGTTTTTTAATATGTAATTTCTCTGCTGTACAGTAGGTTACAAGTGGGTCACTGTATAATGGATAGTATTAAATTTGAATTCAATGATATAATATCATTGTATAAGAAAAACGATTCTGAGCGGAGACGGTATGTCAGTCTAGGTATAAAACATATTATATATTTATTTATCGTATTAGAAAAAATTTACTTAAAATAGGTACCTATAATAAATTCCAAAGTAATCATATCACAATATCCATTAGGTACTTATAATGCGTTATACGTCAACAACAAACCCTGATACTATAATAGTCCATACTCCATAGATATATAATAGTGTACTTTAGAAGTTTCAAGTACCCACGAATAATATTACACAATCACAACAAAATAACTAAAATAGTTATTCTAGGTTTTTTTTTATGTAATTTTGTCCAAAGTTGAACTTAAAATGACTATAAAAATAAACTGTGTTTATGTATTTTTCAGATTTTTTGGTAACAGAATTAACTTTTTATGAGAACCTTTGTTTTAAATTTTCAATCCTTAGATATAAAAGTTGAAAATATTATCAATTTTTTACTACAAAATAATTATTCAATTTTAAATTGGATAAAATTTGTCAAACTTCGATCTTTAAATGCTTATAAAAAAAAAATTGTTCCAATGTATTTTTAATATTTTTCAACTGATATTGTAACAATATATCAGGAGCCTTATATTAAATTTTTACACTTTTGTCTTTTTGGCAAAACAGATAAAACTTGAAAATTGAATATTTATAGAAAAAAGAACTAAAACAATTAAAAACTGTAAATATCCATAATCACCTGAAAAAGAGTCAAATATTTTCAAAATTGTATGGTGTATAAGAAATGCTAATATAAATATTCAGTGAAATTTTCATGTATCTACAGTTATTCGTTTTTGAATTAAAACAAATAAAGGAAATCGCTACATGAGAATTCGAGTGAATATCCAATGTTGTAAAAATTTGAATTTCAAACGCTCATAAAAATTTAATTTGACTTCTTATAGACATTTTTTTTTTCGATAAAGGTATATAATCTCATAAGGAATCTTGTATTACATTTTAAAATCTTAGATTTAAAAAGAAAAATTTTTACGAATTCTTAACTCAAAATAATTTGCTAATTTTCGTGATTTTTCCGTATTTTGTAAATTTTTGAACTTTAAATGCTTATAAAAAAAAACCGTGAATAAGGATTTTTAATATTTTTCATCTGCCTTTGAAACAATATACTAGGAGCATTCTATTAAATTTTCATTATTTTTTAACCAACAAATAACATTTTATTGATATTTTTAGAAAAAAAAACTAAAAAAAAAATGGAAAATGAAAATGTCCCTAAACAGTTAAAAATAAATCAAAATATTTTGAAAATGTTATCGTGTATAGAAAATGAAAATATAAACAACCAAAGAAAATGTCTATGTATCTACGGTCATTTGTTTTAAAGTTAAACCAAAAACCAAATTACATTTTGAGAAAAATCGATTTTGTGTAAAAATTCCCGTTTTTTCTTAATTTTTCTTTTGCTTTTCTTGGCGCTTTTGAAAATTACTATGAATTTTGAATTTTGACCTCCCCAATGCATCAACGATATTCTCTTTCCAATCGAACAAGATACTGAAGTTGAAAATCGAAGCATTTTTACTGCCCCAAACCGTGATGACAGACACAAAAATAAAAATATAAAAAAATAAAATAAAAACACTCATCATTGTAAAATCAGTACATTCATCGTTCCACTCAGAATCTAAATAACTTCAAATTTGAATTAATAAATGTTGCAAAAATAATTAATATGTTTTCAGGTTTTATTCTACGGTGGCTTATACATTTTTCTCGGCATAATTTATCTGATACCTTCTGGGATATCATTCAATAGAAGATTGAATAATAGATGTCCAGTCTACGATATAACTGAATAGCGTCATCAACGACTATACATATTGCCTATTGGTATGTATAACCTATTTGGTTATCTATTGGTACCTACCTATATTAGTTTTTATATTTTACATTTCCATGAAGTCTTTAATACGTATGTCTTGTTGTTATAAATGATGTGGATATGAAATGTTTTAATGTTTATAATATTTAATAAATCTTCATAAAATTAAGTTAAAAAGCGTATTGTGGATTGTGGATTTTTAATTTATAGCTGATATACAGTTTTCAATATCAAATATCACACCAATTTGGCGGAAATGCAAATGCCAACACAACGTCTGAACTCTAACCATCAACAATACATAAGTACATAACCAAAGCTCATTCCAAGGCTTAATATTATATTTTATATGTGCGTAGAATAAATTCGAATTTTGGATAACATAGTATGTAGGTACATGAGCATCAGCATAGGAACTAGGAATTGCCAAATTACAGTGAGTGTATATTTAACTATCGATTTAAAAACTTAACGTTTCATTTTCGAACATAATATTTTATTTTTCTTCGTGTACAGCAGTTGTAAGCATATACACCGCCAGGCAGACGCGCAAATGTCAAAAACAGACTTGATTGTTTCGCTGTAATTATAATTGTTCTACACGGGCGCACTTTTATTTCATTTTTTAACCTAATCCTAAATAATATAATAACACGGGTAGGTAGGTTTCGAACGAAGAAGAAACAACAATGGAACCATCCAGACCGTGAATAACTGACTGTCAAAACAATTTAGCGCCCCACAGCTCGATGCAAATATATGAACAATACACGTACTTAGGTATAATAAGTTCAGAGTTTTTCAATTTTTGCGTACCTGCTGCTACAGTCTTGTATAGAACGATTGATTATTAAGTAGCTCATATACTATAATATATCTATCCACTTTTGGTGGAGTCAATTTTTTCATGAACAAGATGAACCAGATACTGGATTCTAACGAAACTGCATAACACTATGGACGTTGGAGTGTTGAACATCCATTTCATGAAACAGATGATAATTTTGTCCATAACGGACAATAGCTATAATATATATTGTACACTTTGCGTAATTATTATGCCTACCTAAGCCAAATTAAAGTAAGTTATTTAAACCATGCATTTGCCTATCTTGTTTTTTGAACAAAAATACAACAGTATAGATGTTATAATTATTATTGGTCATATTTATATTTTATTTCATTGTTAACAATTATATTATTTATATATGAGAGACTGTCAGACTGATAATTATAAATTTATCTTAATGAATTTTAACTATTATGTTATATACAATTTTATTGTATCAACATTTCTTGTACCTTTACCTACCGGCTCTATTAATATGGACGTTATGAAATATGAACCCAAAACTTTATTATTGGAACAAATAAAATATAATGATCTGTACCTACTAATGTCGTGCATAATGTCAAGCTATAATATTGTAATACTGATGTCTAATATTTTTCAATTTTTGTACTTCAAATTTTACATAATATGTAGGCACACTACTAAACATACGTGAGTAAAAGTTCATATTATAGTTCAACAAAGTGTATGTTGAATAATTTTATAATAGCCGCGTATTGTCTAATGTCAATGCACTTTTTAACGGTCCTATTATCTCAGTGTAAAAGTGTAAAACCTGTGTCTAATATTTTGAGTGAACGATCAACACAGTACCTACATGAATTTAATTGTTTGGTATGTGGCTTATATTGTTTGGAAATGCTTATAGAGTAATTAACCGGCAATCTTAGAATACTAATTATAGGTACCTATATGTAAAAGGTATATATCATGTTGTAAATTTACTTATATATATATGTATCTAATATATTATTTTAATATACCATCCTCAAGGTAGGTGCTGTCTGGTGCCTGGTGCAGGACGCGTATAGATTTGATTATCCATGATAATAGTTGTACATCAGATGAGTTTATTTTTGTCATTTTCGCGTATACCAGTATAATATATATATATATTGCATAATAACGTGAAGTGAGAACGGTGGGCCGGGGTAAAATCGATAATTAAACATTACGAATCGCCCGGCCCGTCGCCGCCAAAGCCACGGCGAAACGACGAACAAGCGTATTACATATATATACGTACGCATATATATATAAACAAATACATGCCACCGGTACTCCACGGCGATTGGCGCCCCACCATCGGCCACGAGCGCTCGTGCGTGTGTTTATACATATATATTGTGTATGTATATATATATATGTATATGTTTATTATATATTATGTATACGACGAACGCTCTCCCGGATTTTCCCGGGGTCCCGGCGGCCCGCATCATCCGGGATCCCCTTTAACTTCCGTTTTCCGACGATCGACCAGGCCCCGCACGGTAGCGGCGGCGGCGCGATCAAACACTCCCTCGCCTTTCTTCCCGCCATACTGCAGCACCCCCTCGGCCTGCATCCCGTCCCCGAAAGCTTCACGTTCGTTTGACCGGCGTATACAGGGCGATTCCGTTGAAAATATATATATAGACACACAGTGCGACGAAGTTCGTGGCTCGGAAGGGGTGGTTTAGTCAAGTATAAGGCCGTCGAAGCCCCACACCCCTACTATACTCCTATAGCGTCGTTTTCCCGCTTAGATTGAATATATATATATGTATATACTCCCTTTATTATTTATATATAGCATATACCAATGCTTTATATACAACTAAGTCAAGCCGACCCGATAAACCCCGTACACAGTTTATATATATATATATTATATACTTAAAACAAACTTACCCCACCGTCGTCCAGTGCACGGCGGCTCGAACGGAAAACGACCAAGGCACATCTCACCGGAAGATTTTAACACTGTTATTCTATGTATAATGTATATTGTATAGGTAGTTCGGTATATTCCAGACCGGCTAAGTCGTGGGCATTTTAAGTTTATAGATTATATATTTGTAATATATTAAAATAAAATATTATAATTTATAATACACATTAACTGCAATTAATTATTTGAAATAGATTATTATAATTTGTAGGCATTTAAAACTAGTGATATATTATTTCGATTTATTGTGAAGATTCAATAATCATATCATACAAATAGTCTAAACAAAATAATAAATATTGAACGTGTTCAGAACCGTTTTCTTGGAATTAAATATATGCGAAAATAAACCACGAACCATACGCATAAGTGCATAACTATCGGCACTCTTTAAAATAACTCAATACCAACACTTTAGTGTCACAAGGAAGACGTTGGTACATTTTCGGTATATTTTCTGAGTAAATTGATACACCGACGTTACTATTTAGGGTTGAATTCCAAATTCCGGTAGCAAATACAAGAGCCGGGATCCATATTATACCAAATACTTGAGGAAAAAACTAATTTCTTAGAGACCTAGGAAAGCTATTTAAGGGAAGCCATGTCCCTAACAATCGTGATTCTATTTTTTTTTTTTTAAATTTAGGTATTTTGTATTGTATTTTTTTAGATTCTGAGCGGAGTGAGGAAGCTATAGTGGTTTTACAATGTTGTTTCCATTTTTTTTATCTTGTATACAAAATTTCTACAAGAAGAAGTACTTCGAATTCAACATTATATAGTACCTTATCTTTTAGCAAATTGGATCAAGATGGTACTTTAGAGAGGTCATTTTTCAATTTTCTCAATAGTTATATAATTTCACGGAAAAAACTACCAACAAGTTACAAAAAAAACCTCTAAAAATGGGATTTTAATTATTAACGCTTTGATTATCACTATAGTAACGAATAAAAAATTATAATAGTAATATTATACTAAAATTATAATATTAATTCAACTTACAGGCTATAATAAATAATAACAATTTAAAAAATTCAGACTGACAAATCATCTCCGCTCAGAATCGTTTTTCTTGTACAATGATATGATATCATTGAATTCAAGTTGGATACAACCCATTATGCATTGGCCCACTTGTAACCTACTGTACAGCAGAGAGACAGCCACTTAACCGATTTTTTTCTATTGTTGTATTTACTATATACACAGTCGAATTGCATTTATATTTTAAAATAATAAATAAATAAATATATATTGTAATCTTATTATTATGTATTATGAATAATATGTACGCTAGAGCCACTAGGTACATAGAAATAAAGGAACATAATATTTCTTGAAAATATATGGACATGAGAATATAGCTGTACAAACTAGAATACATCTACTATAATTGATACGCGAAGTAGGTATATTAACATAAGCAGTATAAATCATGTTGAAGTTCATACATCCTATTAAGTACCCACTTGTATATAGTAATTGTAATATACTAATATGCGACATGTGTGGAGTAAATTGAATAAAATACGTTTTAATAAATTAATAACTATAATTAATAATCAATATAATATCTAATATTTATATAAATAAGCTTGAAATCGTATGGTAAATTATAAACTTTACAATGTATAAGTTCGTAAACATTAAACATTGAATAGGAATATTAACGTTGAAACATTTTAAAATCGAGCGTGTGTACATTAGACGTATAAATGATATAAACCCTTTGGCTTAAACAGTTTTTCACACGTTTTACACACATAGACAGTCCCGTGTCCCTTCGTAACTTCAATTTGAATTTAAATAATTTCACCATTGTAATATCGGTAATAAAATTTTATTATACAATAAAAGAGGGCTAAATAAGCACACATCGTTATAATACAATCAACTTAAAGCAATTGATTACATCAATCACCAATAATATTATAACATGGAAATATAAAACTCTTTGAATTACTTACTGTAAATTAATTAATCCAAACTAATTATCAAAAATTTATACTATAACAGTGTAAAGCATAATTATATACATTATTTAATTTTTTAGTATGTAAATAACTTAGGTATACATTTTTTATTTTCTAAAATCTACCCACCTAATTATGTATATATTATTTGATAGTTTAGAACTCTAATATTCGCTAAAGAGATTTTGTGTTTAATTTGAAGATTTTAAAGT